CCTATAGTCTTGTTGGTTGCAACCCATGTGGCCTCTTTCTTGGCTTCTCTTTGCTTGATTCCTGCAGCTTTCCTCAGCATTCATTCCACGTGACTGTCATCTCTTAATCTTGGAGGTCTCCACTGCAACTTCTACTTCCTTCTCATGAGTTGCCCTCTCAGGGGGCTGCCTACTGGGATTCCAGCCCTGCTACTCTTTGCTTGGCCTCTCAGGCATTCCTCTGAAATCTCAGTAAAGTCTCCATGACCACCTAGTTCCAGCATCCTGCATTCCTGCAGAACCAGCACCAGGTGGTTGATGTCAAGGTCTTCTGCCATCTTGAGCAGTAGCCACGCCTCCTGGGACCATGGCTGCAGTAGCCTTTATGTGCCTGGGTGTCTGAGCTCAGAGAGACAACTTCCTAGACACTCTCTGTACAAGCACAGTGCTTCCCCCACCTCTTCTATTTTCACCTTCAAGCCTGACATAGGTATGGTCTTGCAAATTTCTGGGATGCCCATAAGCCATCTTTTCTATTATCTCTGAGTAAAATACTTCAGCATCTCTTGAATGGTTATAATCTCTTTAACCACCACAGCTTCCTAAGCTCTATTTTTACTCACAATTTTCTGGTCAAACTGCAAGTTTTTCAAATCTTTATTATTTGCTTTATGCTCTTGATTATCACAGTAAACTTTGCTATAATCCCCTGAATGCTGTGCTGCCTTGAAATTTCCTCCACCAGGTTAATTCATCTACCACCTTTAAATTCAGCTTCACAGAAAGTTTGGGGACATAGGAAACCGTAGACAATTTCTTTGTCAGAATGTAATGAGAATGGCTTCTAGTCTAATTTCCAATACAGTCTTCCTTCTCTGAAACCTCATGAGCCCCATCTTTACTGTCCATAGTCCTACTGGGTTTTGAGCTCCTTTCAGAATCACTCCTTAATCTCTGCTTACATCATTATAAAGCTTTTCCGGCTTGTATCTGTATATTTTTCAAAATCCTCCCCCCTGCAAATCAGCTCCAAAGGCTTCTGAACAACATGGTCAGGTTAGTCATAGTGACAACTCCACTTATCCATATCAATTTCTGTTTCAGTCAGCTTATTCATTGCTGTGATCAAAATACCTTACAAGAACAACAGGAAGAAAAGTTTACTTTCTTATTTTTTTTAAGAGAGAGAGAGAGAGTTTTAATATTTATATTTAGTTTTCAGTGGACACAACATCTTTATTTTATTTTTTTATGTGGTGCTGAGGATCGAACCCAGCACCCCACGCATGCCAGGCGAGCGCGCTACCGCTTGAGCCACATCCCCAGCCCAAGTTTATTTTCTTTTAAGAAAATTTAAGTTCAGTCCATGATTAGCCAACTCTATAGCTCTGGGCCCAAGGGAAGGCAGAATATGTGGCAGAAGGGTATGGCAGAGGGAAGCAGCTCTGGCAACCAGGAAGCAGAGAGAACTCTGCTCACCAGGGACAAAATATGAACCCTAGTGATTCATTCCTCTAGCCACATCCTTCCTGACTACAGTTATCAACCAGTTAATCCACTGAGTAGGCTATGCCTCTTAATTTAATCATTTCACCTCTGAAAATTCTTGCATTGTCTCATACGAGTTTTGGGGGACACCTCACATCTAAGCCATAACACCATTCCTATACATGTATCTAAAAGAATTCAAGTCATAGCAGCCTAAAAAAAAAAAAACACACACACACACACAATCGTCAAGTTATATAACCAGCCTAGGTGTTTGTCACCAAATGGATGGATACAGACAACATGGTAATATACACAATGGAGTTTTATTCAGCCATAAAGAAGAACAAAATTATGTCACTTTCAGAAAAGTGGATGGAACTGAAGAGAATCATGTTAAGTAAAATAAGCCAGACTCAAAAAGTTGAGGGTCATGTTTTCTCTCATATGCAGAAGTGAGAGATAGAGTAAAGGAAAAGCAGGATCTCATGAAAAAAGAAAAAAAAAAAAAAAAGATCATTAGGATAGAGGAAGGAATCAGAGTTAGAGAGGAGGAGGGCCAGGGAAGATATTGGGGAATGAAATTCATCAAATTTCATTATGTACATGAAATTTATGTACAAATATGTCACAACAAATCTTATAATTACTTATAATCATCATGCCCTAATTGAAAAATTTAAAATACTTCTAGAGAAGCCAAAATGATATGCAAAAATTCATAAGCAGGAATGATCATGGAAACAAACAGTAACAGCAGCAAGGGACAATAACCTATTACTGTAGGGTTTCAACAGAAGACTTGCAGAGACCCCGAGGTGTCACAACTCTGGCAGGCTTGGGGCCCAAGGAACTACAGTGCTTCAAGGCTTGCTGGAGCACACGGACCTACAGGTGTCTGAAGGAGGACTTAGATACTTGAGAGCCTAAGTCAGAACCTCACATCCAGAACTCTTACTAATCTGATTGTCAATGGTAGAGGCATTCGTACTAAATTAAACCTTGGCCTAGGGGAGGAAAGATAGAAGAAGCTGGGGAAAGGCCCTTCCCCTGGCTCCCTGGGAGGAGGAAATGCTGGGTGACACAGGTGGGATGGAGGCAGAGGCTCTGCAGTCAAGTTCATGGCAAGGTTGCACAGAGATGCAGCCAGACTCCCCTCTCCACCCACACTGCCTCCCATGGGTACAAAACAGAGGCATGACAGATAATGATGGCTGCAAATTCCTTGATAGGATTCTCCTCAAAGGGTAGGTGTGCTGGTCATCTTTTTGTCACCGTGACCGGGAGAGCTGACAAGAATCACTTAGAGAAGGAAGTTTACTTGGGCTCACGGTTTCAGAGGTTCGGTCCATTGTCGGCCAAATCCATTGCTCTGGCCTTAGGTGAGGCAGAACATGGTGGCAGAGAGAGCCGTGAAGGAAAGCTGCTTGCCTCGTGGCCGCCAGAAAGCAGAGAGAGAAACAAAGAGGATCCAGAGGGACAGGACAGAATTCCCAAGGGCCTGCTCCCAGGGAACTACTTCCACCAGCCACGCCCCCCACCTGCCTGCAATCACCACCCAGGAGTCCATTCAGACTCTACTCCATCAACTGAATGAATGCACCCATTACCTGTGACTCTTATGATCTAATCATTTACCTCCTCCACTAGCACAGGAGAACTGGGGGGACATCTCATATCCAACCTTAACAACAGGCATGGTCCTACTCTCCATGAATCTGAGCTACGTGTGGTTGCTTTGAACAGAAGTACAGAGCAGAAATGAAGCTGCCTTTCAGAGCCCTGGAAGGTTCCACTCCTGGTCTATGGAGCCCAGAGCTGCCATGTAGGAAGTTAGACTTCCTTGTCGGATGGAAGAGCTACCTGGAAAAGCCATGGGACGCTGCACAGCATAGAAGGACATGGACGTGAAGCTAACTTGGACTCTCTAGATCAACATCTAAATTAGCAAAGTGGGTTGGTGTTCACTGGTCTGGATGACAGTCCTGACTATGATAGTGTGCCCCTGCTCACCTGCGACAAATACTAGTCATCTGCAGTCATCACTGAGCAGCTGCTTCCCCTGAGAAATGGTGGACCAGAACATCATGTTGGCAAGGAAGCCCTCATGGGGACCATTCTGAGGTCATCAAGACCACCCAGGTCCCTCTTCTTCTATCCTCAACATTTCATAATTACCTCATCTCTGCTCAGAAGTGACAATTAGAAAATAGGAAGATGTCTGGATTAGAACCTGTATGACCTCATCTGTAGAAGTCCTCCTATCTGCCACCCAACCAAAATGATAGTTTTTGGTGATGGATGGTCAGGCTTGGGAGAGAACAATAGCTAAAAACTGGTTGTAAAGTATTGTTATCTTCAATCTAAAGAAACCATTCAAAGGAAAGACAACCCCCCATCGATTCACTGCTTATTAACCCAGGGTTGAAAAAGACCAGGTGGAAAATAATCCTCACACACACTTACACAGAAATGAGAATTTTTACAGCCAGGTTAGGTTCCGTTTGCAAGAGCCATTGACATATTAACTATTTAACCCCTTGCTCTGCAAATGCCTCTTTAGGAGGAGTCATGAGTCATACAACATCATGCCTAAGAAAGAAGGAGCTTGCAGGAATCCCTAGGGAGCAGGTCTCCACACTGTGGATCAATCTACCCATATGGGTTGTCTTGAAAATATTTCTGAGATAGAGGGTTGCAGGGAGGGGGAAAAAACAGAATGCTAAGATCTCATTCATATCGAAATTTTTAAATGGGAGAGAATACACGTGTGCAGTTATGGATTTAAATAGGATGCCAAGCCAGCAGGAAAATCAGCAGTTGGTACATGGGGTAGGGTCTGGGAGGATGTGGGGGGGCCAGCTGGTAGTGGAAGGAAGTGGTTTGTATTGTTATAAATACCAGTGGTGGGAGTGGCCATCGATGAGTTTTTGATTGCAGCTGTGGTATAACACATAAGGAGCTGCCTAGCCGTCAAGAGTACCAAGGCATAGGTCAGCCCCACCACCCCAAGTGTCTTATCATCCAATGGGTCTTGGTATTGTAAAGGAACACCCACCCCCATCTAGCCTGTATAAGCCTAGAAGCTTAAGGTGGGATAAGGAGAGGCACCCTGAGCTTGGACACTGGGCTGTGAGCTGGGTAGGACAGTTAGAGGTAGCTCAGGTGGCTGAATCATCAGTGGGCATACGCAGAGAGCTGACCCTAGGCAGGAGGATCAGCAGGCGTAGAGTCTTCAAAGTGTAACCAAGGACACTATCGGAGCACAGGTGGGATCTGCTAATGTATTAAGTCAGGTGTAGCGAACCGTAGCCATCAGGATACAGATTTGTGTTTTAAGCTTAGCAACGTCCAGCATCTCTTAATTCAGCCAGGTGATGCTGCTACCCTTGCAAATCTCAATTATCCTTCATAATATGATATGACACATGTTCCTTTTGGCAAAGGGAACTGAGCTAATGAGGAACATCTGGTACGAGTGTTAAGCCTGGCTGTATACAAATGAGCAATGTTGTGGGTCAAGCATGGCTTACCTCTGCGATTAACAGGGTCCTTAGCTACATAGGCGACGTAGTCTGTTGTGTCCTGTTAAAGAAAAAAACAAGATGTCTGTATCACTCATCACGAGGAGAGAACACTACAGGGATACAGTACATCAACACAAGCTGATAAGGACTTCCCACCATACAAAGAATCAAACACTGCCTACACAACAGCCCAAACAAGGCAGCTTCTTGTGATGCACATTCTGGCTCAGTATGTCCAGGCAGGGCCTGGGGGGCTGCATTTCCAGCCACCCTCCTGGTACTGATGCTGCTGGCCCATGTTCACACTGGAGCAGCCGGGATAGAAGGCACCGCTTCTCGGCATGTTGCATCTTCAGCTTCCAAAACTGAATCCTATTGCCCAGATAATTTGATTTAACTGGTTTGGATGTGAGCCTTGAGCATCAGGAATTTTTTTAAGTCCCTAGAAAAATATTAATGTGAACCTAAGTTGAGAACCACTACTCTCAGCAATGTCCATACCTGGGGCCCTCAAATTTGAATTAGTGTCAGACTCCCCTGTAAGTCTTGTTAGAACAGATTTCTGGGCCACACCCTGGAATTTCCCCTCTGGTGGGTCGGGGGATAAGATCCCCAAACTGAATTCCTAACAAGTTACAGCTGCCTCTGGGCTGGGGACCATGCTTTGAGAAGTACTGGTCTGGAAGAAAACCCAAGTGGATGGATGTTCAAAGGTTGATCACAGACATCCCCTCTTGGGTGATTGAGATAAGAGAGTTCTTTTCTTCTTGGACATAAATAATAATTTTATTCCCTTAAGATATTTTAAAAATATAAGTTCTATTTAGAAGTTTCATCTTTCCAAGTGAAATAAGACTTTCTTCACCTTCCTTCTCATAAAACCAATGAATAGAGAAAATAAGACTTAAAAAGTATGCTGAAGCTCACACCTGTCATCCGAGTGACTCAGGAGGCTAGATTCAAAACCTTCTGCACCACGACAGCCAGTCTTGCAGCCATCAGGAGCAGAGACTGAGGTGCAGTGAACTTTGTCCATCACAATAAAGCCACGTTACTTTGAATGCCATTGGCTTGACAGTGTTTGTTTGTATTTAATTTCCAAATTTGATTGGAGTTTAGAGTTCAATAAAAAGTATAAACATAAGCCATCTCTTCTTGGATTCTGTACAGATTCGGGTCACATAATTAATCTGAGTCAGCACTAATGATATATTCAAGGAAATACTTTAAAAAAAAAAAAATCTTACCCTAATCTAAGAAACTCTACTCTAGCTCAAAGTTGGGGGAGGAATGACAGTAAGAAGACCTGGTCTGTGTGTCTCAGATGGTCAATGGCTAACTAAGCTGGACATGGTTGTTCTGATTCTGGTATTGATCTCTTTCTGGAATAGTAGTAGAGTGTAATAGGATTCAAAACAATTAATTGTTCTTGAAAAGTTCCAACAAAGGGGTTGCTGCTTCTCTACTTATGCCCTCCCCGAGAACCTCGGAGCCTAACCATTGCTCTAAAATTCTTTTGGTGGTATTTTAACATGGCTAATCATAGTAGACTATAATTATTGTGTTGCCTCTTTGGGGAAAGGGATTAATAATATTTTCTAGTCTGTCTCATTTGATGTTTCCATCTACCATTTTCTGACTGCGTAGACTAAGACACAAAGCATTAAACAACACATAGATTTAGCAGGAGTATCAGGACGAGGGCCTAGAATCCTTGGTTTTACTTAAAACATTTACCAATAGTAGTAATGTGGTAAAATTGTGGTTATGATTCAATTTGGAATGAGATCTCATGCACTAGCTATTTGGATTGGATAAAATAGAAAGTAACTAGGCTTCCTGTCCTCTGGGATCATGCCATTTTCTGTATTAGAAAAAAAAATCACAACAAACATAAAAGGTTATGGATTACTTTAAGGGTCAATAAATAGTTCCATTCATTAAAATGAAAAGATGATGAGTAAATCTGAAGAAAAAGAACAGGCCCACATCCTGTTTATATCCTGGAGAATAAAATAATTCTATATAAGCCCATGTGTTTGGCTTTCCAGGACCTAGACATTTGTATCTCCACTCAAAATATCATCATTAGGACAAGAATTAAGAAAAGTTCCTGAAAGGAGCTATTGATGCAGTTCAATAATATCTGTCTTTTGATTTTTTCAAACTGGGTTACCTTTGACATTGAGGAAACTGTTTCCATCCCCTGCACAAGGAAGGAAAGAAGGAAGGGAAATTATGGCTCAGAGCATCACACTGGTTAAGCACTTAGACAACCACGGCAAATTACTTAGAGTAGAGAGAGACAAAGGAAGGATCTTGGTCTAGACATGTATGTGAGTGCAGTACAGGCAGGTACATGAACGTCCATGGGCATGATCCCAGGAAATGTAGCATGGGTGTGTCACTGAGGCTTTCCTGTTACAATGAATTGTGAGAAATCGTCAGGATTAGAAAGAAAACAAAGGTACAGCAAGAGCAGAGGAGAAAAGAAAAGGAAGCCACTGTGGTAGACTTTTTTAAAAAAGACTTTTAAGTTTTAACAAGAGTCCAAACCATTTGAACCCATGGGATATCACTGCTAAACTGTGCTCTGGTCATCTTTGGTCAATTAAGCAAAGATGTAAGGGCAAAGATTCATGTGCAGGATGAGCAATCCCTTCTGCCACCAAGTGCCCTGGGCGTGGGGTCTGAGGTAGGGGTGCTGGACAGTAACAGGGCACATGACCAGTGGCACTGGTCCTTGGCAGGAGCCCACAACCCCAGGCGTGCCTGCCCCTGACGCCCACCACCACTGGACACAGAGAAATACTGCTCTCTCGTTACTGTGATCTGGGCCCCTATTAGACTGTCCTTCAGAAACATCTGGAATCTGCCGCTGAAATGGCTCTCTTGATTGACCTGACTCCACTATGCCAGCAGCAGTTCTATGACAAGGTTATCCAAGTAGAAGAAATTGGAAGGTCATCAGGAAAATTCCCCTCCTGCGGCTAGCTGCAGACAGGATCCCTAGCATTAAAATAAGGAGTAGTGTGTGCCAATCACCAGGGCTACTTGGGTGTCAGGGGAAGCAGGGCAGAGAGTGATCAAGACCCCAGCAACTCTGAAAACTGTGGTGCGGGGTGCAATCTGTCACCTCTTAAAAAGGCCAACGCTTGGGCTGGGGTTGTGGCTCAGTGACAGAGCGCTTGCCTTGCATGTGTGAGGCACTGGGTTCGATCCGCAGCACCACTTAAGAAGAAATAAACAAAATAAAGATATTGTGCCCAGGTATAGCTAAAAAATATATATATTTTTAAAAAAGGTCAAAGCTTCCAGAATTTCTGACGGCTTTTGGCTATGAAATAAAAATTAACAGCAGGTCCTTGACATAGGCTACCTACCCCCAAGAAATGATAGTCAAGAAGAGTTTCCAATATTTGAGAGGGAGTAGTTGACATCACAGTTAATTTTTGTATATTGTTCAGAGGGGGCACACTTTAAGTAAAGGTCCCTTCTTGGAAATTCCCCAAAAGTACAAGAGAAACAAGGCCAAGGGCACTTACCGGATCTCCCCCGGAGGCGAAGGAGATGGACTGCATGTGATGATTCGCTATGATCTGTCAGGCCCAAAACAAGAAACCACATGTGCCGTTATTACCCTTTCCACGTCTTGCAAAATCAACCCTTTGTTAGCCGATGATCCAAATTGACGAGTTCTCCTGAAAACTCATAACCGTATGAAAATAGCAACTGTGAAAGTCACGGCGGTAGACCACCTTTCATGAGCATTCACAGCCTGATGGCTGCTGTCTAACTGGCTGGCCTCAGCAACTTTCTTTAAGTCCTCCCAGGAGCTATGGAGAGCGAACATCAGAATTCCATCTGACAGGTGAGGTGGCTGAGGCCCCAAGGACCAAAGGACTTCTTCAAAGGATCTCAGCTGTTAATCAAAGACCTCTACCCGCTGGCCAGGATCTTAAGGAAAAAGTCTCACCTGCACCTCAAAATATTGCCATTTATGGTGGTGGTTTCCAAAGCCACACCAGGACCCCCATCACAGACCTCCTAGCTAGGATGGAGGAGGAGGGGCCCTTCCCTCTCTCTTTGTCCCATTTGTACTCTGCACATACAAATAAGAAAGCCAGAAACAAAGATTAAGAGTCGGTGCCATCTAAAGCACTCTCGTAATTTATCAACATAAAAACCAGAGAGGACATTCCAAGTTAATTTTAAAATGGGAAATTTCCATTAGCTTTTATAATCCACAGCATACAGTGGAATTTAGCAGACACTAAGTAAATTAGAAGCTGCCCTAAATTTAAAAAGCTCCATAAGTCTTCCATGCTATTTTTATCTTTCCAAAGACAATGTAATGACATTGAGGTACATTTCCGGGGGTGGGGAAAAGAGCTCTTGTCTCCATCCCTACACAGCCAGGTTTATTTCTGCACAATCCCCTCAGGCCCTTGTCCTCAAGCAGGCAGTTAGAATTTACATAGCTACATTTGTGCCATCCGAGGGATGTTTCCAAACAGGCTCCTGTAAAACCCAAATATAATCAAATTATATCACATATTTACTTTTAAATGTCTACTTTGGTTGTTGGCAATTGCAAAACTTCAGGATGTAGGAAATCCTGAGCATCTAAGGGACCATAAAGCAGTGTGCCCAAGCCCCGGGTGGCCTAAGCTAATAATAGTCACCCTAGAATCCTGTCCTCAGATCATGGTAGAGGGAATGGTGAGGAAATAGGACCCCCCCAAATAATGATAACGTTTTGAATTTTGCATAATTAGCTTTTGTGTATTTAATTTTTTGCTTCTAAGACAGCTCCAAAACTGGGGCTTAGAAATTAAATTGGAAGGTAAGATTTAGCAGGGGAAAAATGAAAGTCATATTTAATCAACATGATGCATGATCATTATTGTGTGACTGAATCTAATTCCCTTGAGTAACAGAAAAATTGAAAAGGGGAGGAAGAAAATTAGAGCTAATTGATTCTAATAGATAGAGTCTGTGCGTCTGCTCCAAAGGCTTTATCTCATTCTTCTACTTGGAACTCGGTAGAGTGGAGGAGGTGCTGCCCGTCTGCTCTCTCTGACAGAGCAGGAAGGATCTCACCGTACTAGGCTCAATTTGCTGCAGTTGACAATTACAATCAACAGGAAGGGAGTCCAGAGCCATCTGATCTTTACCTCTGCTCCATCTGCCACAGACTGTACCTTTGTCATCCGAGTGGGCAGCACCTGGGGGTCCGGAGTCCACCCACCTAACCCAGAGGCAAGAAGATAGGAACTGGACACATCCAACCAGCCCAGGTCTCAGGTGGAGCAGGGCCAAATGCAGCAGCAGTGTCCTGGGTGCCTCTTCTCTTTTATGGAGGTGGGGAAGGAGGGAGAAGAGCCCATAGAATTGAGGGTTACAGGCTGAAGAGTCCTGGAATCCGAAGTCCCCAGCAATAGAGAAGGAGAATGGGAATGAGCAGAGATGGGATGCAGGGCTGAGTGGACCCGCCACCACAAATAGCAGGGACTCCACCTGACACAGCACAGGCAAAGGCCGAGCCTCCCCAACAAGCCTCCCCACAGCCTCAAGGGCTAATCACCCAGTCCTGGGCACAGTTAGTAAGTATGCAAAGACGAGGGATCATCTGTGGGTCCCAGGAACACAGAAGAATGGAGCGAGAGTGGTATCCACTTATGCCCAAACAAAGCCTAGACATGGCTTCTCAGTTCTATGCAGAATCTAGAATTTATTTCTACCTCTTGGGTAGGAGTTGGAGCATAAATGAAGCTGAGGATACTGCTCATCCACCTGAGATTATGGAGACCAATAAACAGAAATATGTGTAGGAACATGAAGTCAACCACGGGCATCCTTGGTAACATGGTCAGAGTCATGGAGTGTGTCGGGCAGAGGTCACATCCAATGTCCAGCTCACACTGCCAGTACTGTAGGCTGGGCAGAGCAGGGGAGGACAGAAAGATGACTATTGATTCAACCTCCACAGGCCAGCCCCTTCAAAGTTGATACAATAAAAATGTCCACTCCACAACCACTTTTTCACTAGGCAAAGGTTTTCCCCTCTGCCTTATTTGACCTTCAGAATCTCCTGTTGGGAGCCAGGACCATCATTCATATACCCATTTTTTCCAACTGAAGAAACTTACGATAGAGAATCATAAGACACACGCTGCCCAGAAACACAATCATCCTAAATGGAATTAGCCATACTGACCACGGCTGTGCTGCGTTGGTCAGCTCTGAATCCACCCATCCTGTTTGTGCCATAGATATGCCACATCTTATCAGCCCTGCGACACCAGGAACTAAGATGCTCCAAGATACTAAACCACTAAGGAAGAAACACTTCTGTCAATCAGACCATGACAGGCCAGACACATCACAGTTGATAAAATAAAAATGTCATCCATAAAAACCAATAAAACATGGTTATACAAGGGATAAGACATCAAGAGAAGACTTTTGCACATACATCACCTTTTTTATCACATTGCAAATAAAAACAATTTCTTCCGTTGTCCTTCGAAAAACAACAAAAAATAGTTACTAATAGCCAAATTAAAGAGAACCAATCCCACCCATCATTCTCTTGGTGGCCAAAGTTCATAGACTAATCCAGATTTGACCCAAACATGTTCTAACTGGGGGTCTGGTGAGGCAGCCCTGGGAAAACCCATCGATGGACTCTTGGAGGGCGGGAGGCCTGAGCGACCACACACCTGTTTGGAGTCAGGCGTCCGCAGGTTCAGGCTGGCGGTGGAGATGGTCAGAGAGATGCTCATCCCTGCAAACTGGAGGTTGCTCTTTCCCAGGATGCTGGACAGCATTTTGCTCGGAGGCTGTGAAATCCAAGAGCATTTTTGGATCTGTTTTTGATTTACAGGAGGCCACCCTGCCGGACCTCTGCGCTGGCCTCCTCTACAAAGGTGGAGACCCAGATGTCAGCCACACACACCCCCCCAGCCCTCGCAGACCCCTCCTCCCACTTCAGGCACCGGAAGACGAAGATGAAATGAGTGAGCTGGGAGGGAGAGAGCCAAGGCTGACAGGTGGCGTCTAGAATATGCACTGTGCAAACTGTAAAAGAGAATCAAACTACCTCTCAGGGAAGACCACAGCAGACCAGCGTGGGGGATTGTACCCAATCTCCAAGGATGGTGAGAGTGTTGGTTGCTAAGGGAATAAGCCCCAGATCCTTCCACACAAACACCTTCTGGGTGGGGGTTCACATAGAGAGTCCAGCTAGAATCCTATGGCCTGAGCCAGCCCAGGGTGGATTGACCCAGGCTGGCTATTACTGGTGTCCCATCCTTCTTTCAGGAACCCAAGGGCTGCATGTTCCAGTTAGGTGCCTTCTGCCCCAGTCCCTGGACAAATCCTGCCAACACTCATTTCTCTGTCCTTTGGGACCAACCAACCCATCCTTTTCGATTTGAAGTAGAGTATTCTCTCTTTCCGGATGCCAGTTAGTGTCTAACAAGGCATACGCTGTTTTAATCTCCTGGGAAAGAAAAGGAAGTGACGAGGCCAGGGTTTTCTCAAGTGGAGTCAGCAAACTGTGAGGACTCACTCCACCTGCTGAAGGTCAAGCCACAGAATGTTCCGGCAGACTGGGATAAATCACTGACGTCCGTATCTGCTGGCCTTCTCTCTCTCTCTCAGCCAGGCATACCCTATTTAATTAGCCAATCAGAATAGGCTTACAGTTTAGGATTTCTATCCAGCCAATGAACTGTCTCCAAAAATAACTTTTTATGGAAATTCCCTACTAAAAGGGAAAAAAAAAAAAAAACACCCTCTTCCATGCTTGCCTTAGGGGACACTCTTTGTGGCTACCCTGATTCAGTATGCCCAAATCGCAGCACTTTGCTTCCAAGATAAATGCTATTTCTTTTGATCTCTGTGCTGATTTGTCTTTTTTTTCAAGTCAACACTCCTGAAAAAGTTATTTAAAAATAGAGATGCCCAGGCCCCACCTGTGAGATCTGGGTCAAGTGCACCTGAGGTGAAGCCCAGAAATGGGCACTGTTTCTTCCTCCTCCCACCAAGAGGACCATGAGGGTAAGACTTGTTAGTACCAGCCATCTTTGGGAGTGAATTTCCCTATCTCTGTTCTCAGACACTTCCCCGTCCCTGAATCCAAGATTCAGAGCCTCTCTTGGTCCTCAATGTCTGCAGGGGATTGACCAGACCTAAACTGGCACACCTGTTAATGTCACCCACATTCTTTGCCTGTTCTCTCTCTCCAGTTGACCTGGAGGTGCATGAATGTCCCCCATCTCTGAAGACAGATACAACCTGGTGCCCTGGGAATAGCAAAGCCAAGCTCACAAACTGCCCAAATGATCTGGAATGGCTCAGCCTCCAGAGCCGATTCGGGGTTCTCTAAAGTATGCTTTCCCCACAATTCAGTCTAGTCCTAGAAAGACCATGATTGTGGGTGCCAGTTAATGAAGTCACTAGATAATTAACTGAAGAGGGTTTTCTCTGATTTCTCTTCACTAGGATTTTTCTCCCTCTCATAAAACCATGTTCAGGGTAAAAAGTTCTAGCGCTGAAGTTGAACACTCAGGCTCTGGAGCAGATGGTGTGGGCTCCACCTAACTCCACCACCTGCTCATGTTCTGCATCTCATCTCATCTCTGCATCTCATCATCTGTGACGTGAGGATTTCCAGTGGTGTTGTGGAGCTAGCTAGTATCAGCTAATGAGACCCAATTGGACATTTATATGAGCTGGCTAATATACAAATTTCTTAAACATTGAACTTATACAGACTCACAATTAAATAGAACTCATCTCTAGAACTCATCTCAAAAGCAGACCACAAATGCCCAACACTCCATATCCTAATGGTTTTGTTGCATAAAATATGAACTCTGCCTTTCAGGTTATGTCGACTGCACCTTGGTGGTACAAGTACTGTGTAGTGATGTGTTGCTGTACGTCTCTTTCCAGACTCCATTTCTGGAGATGCCATGTTAAAAGCTTGCGCTCAGCACATGGAAGTATTTACACCACAGAAATTGGCAGATGCTGCAAATTCAGTGCTTCTTGTTCCCCCTCTCAACGATGCCTGGCCAAGTGTTTGCTGCCCTTGCTGTCTTAGGGTTTGAGCCACAGGGAGTAACCAAGGTTTCTGCTTTTGGACAGCTATGACAGCTCACTGTCCCCAGCCACGTGAGGGAGCAATCTCAGCTCTCTTTGCTTGTAAAAACAACAAAGGCAAGGCTAGGGGAAGAGGACAAGGAGCAGTTGTGTGGTTGAAGACCCTGAGAGGTGAGAGAGGACGGAATGGAGGAGACAGACACGCGTACCTTTCTCTTCTTGAAGGCTCCTTTGGCACCGGGTACAGCTTCGCACACACGGCTGATGGCTTCCCTTAGGAGGACAGGGAGAGAGATCCATTTAATCATGTGTCAATCGGCATTATATACCCCAGAAACTCGCCACTCAAAAGCCCACAGAAAATAACTGCCTGCTTCTCTCAGCAGAGAAAATGGACCTGCCCTCCACCGCTCCTGTAAAAAGTGAGACTAAACAAAACACAGACAGGTCAACTTAGAGCTCTAACTAGCCACACTCCGGCTCTTTTTATCATGATGGTTGGTGCTATCAGTGTTATATGACCAATGACACTTTTTTTTTTCTTTTTTCCAGTTGGCTGAGAGTCTGTTTTTTAAAATCAGCACCCTCAAGTGTACCTTTCCCAGGGTTATCTTCATTGCTGTGGTCAGGGCACTAGGGCCAAACCTGATTAATCAATCAGCCACCACTATTGATCAACATTCTACTGAAGTGAGTTAGAAAGTAATTGAAATAAATTTGCTCCTTGGAGTTTGATACCCAGCTTCTGCAGTTACAAATACAGACAGTCCTGGTTTACAGTGATTCAATTTACAATTTTCCGACTTTACCAGGGTGTGAAAGCAATGCAGAGTAAGTAGAAACCATGCTTGAATCTTGAATTCTATTTTTTTTTTAAGTTTTAGGCTTTCAAAATATTTTGTTTTGCTTTTCATTAATATGCATTAATTATATGTGTATTAATGGTGTCCAGTGTGATATTTCCACACATGTATAAAGCATGCTTTGATCAAATCCAGCCTCCATTTATTAAACCCCCTTCCCAAATGCTAGTCATCACTATCCTACATTCAGGTGAATATTTTTAGCTTTCCCAGATGAAAAAGGTATTTGTCCTTCTGTGTCTGGCTTATTTCACTTAACGTGCTGTCACCCAGTCCCATCCATATGATCCTCTCTGGGGTTGTTGGACAGGGGCGGTGAACCTGGGCTCCCAGTCTGCCCTTGGCTGGAGGGTGAGAGACCACCACTCCACAGAGTGCTGTTGCTATGCTAGCATCTTCCATGAGTCTAACTGATGCATTTTCCACTTACAAAATTTTCAACTTATGACAGATTTATAAGTCCAGAAGAAGCTGCACCATAAAATCAAGAGTTTAGAAGAAGAAAAGGAGCTCCTATTGTGTGTAATTGAGTCAGAGATGAGGCTATGTGCAGGGTAGGTCCTTGGAAGAGCATTGGTTGAGCGGCTACTGCGTGTCAAGCACCATCCTGGTTCAAGGAGTCAAAGAGTATCCTTAATGTTGAGGGACACTGAAGGGGGACCAACAGGACAGGGGTCTCACAGACGGGTCTGGCCACACTTGGGCAGGAAGGCAGGGAAGAATGGAGTTAAGCTAAGACAAAGGTTGCTGAGGTGCACATGCAGGCAGTGGAAGCCTATGGTGAAGGGGACACCCGAAAGCAGACAGAGTTCAACTCCGTGACTCAGCCAAGGTGAGGAGTGACAGGGAGACAGGGTGAAGGTGGCTTCAAAATCAGGAGCCCAAAAAGGAGATGCACCGAGGACTTCTCAACTCCCACAAAAAACAAAGAGAAAATATTTCAATAGCAGAGAACAAATAAACAGAGATCTGGAGAAATGATGAATGGAAAAAAAAAAAGAAAAGATAATGGTCCTCAGCAACCTCCCACAAACTTTGCAAACTAAGTGCTTCTTGCATTTTTATCTATCATCTGGAGGACAATTAATCACTATTGCAATGCAAGGCTCTTAGGAGAAATATGTCCTTGTCTAATTAGGCAAGAGCTTGTCTCAACAAGATTCCCATTTGCCATTCAATTCATTGTAAAGAGTGGGGAAGGAAATATTTTTCTAGAAGTTCGAATGCCAAGAAAACTATATGAATCATCACGACTTGGAAAAAGTGAAGAAAGAAGCCAATGATTTTGATGCTTTTATGCTTCCTCCGATTTTTTAAATAATATCCCAACTTTGGTTCTAGCAAAACGGTCAAATACGTATCACCCAAAATACTGTCTAAAGGTAAACTCCTTGTTACTTTTAGAAGAAGGTCACATTGTCTTTTTATAGAATCATAAAAACCTCAGTATCTATATTTTATCTCTTTATTTTTTTTTTAAAAAAAAAAGCAGGTCAGTGACCCTCTGCACTATGCTTATTAAGTGAATTGATATATTTAGCTCAGTGCAGCTGCTAAATCTCTGATGGTCCCAGCAAGCTAGGGAAAAAAAATGCTATATGCAGAATATCTCCCCTAAGTCATTCCTTAAATATCCCCAATAATCACTGGATCTCTTTTTTCATTTGCTGACGTGGAACATAAGAGAGTGGGAAAAAAATCAGTCTTAGCAACAGGATACACGCTACCAAAGGCCTGGCCTGCTCGGGCCATAGGACTTTTGCAACAGGCTGCTATTCTTCATGTGCTGGAGAAACTACACATCAGCATTCAGAAGGGATTTCAAAGCCCTGCAGAAAATAAACTGTTCTCTCCAACAGTGGTCTCACAGAGAGGCACACAAGGGTCTCAGGGCACATGGAGACACTCAATCTTTTGTCCTTAAAATTTGCAAATGTAAGGAGTTTCAGAAATTGCTCAGAGCTCATGCACTCAAGAGAAGTCCTAAGGATCCCCCTTGGGAGCCTTTAGAATCCCCAGAGGTTTTCAAATCAAGCTGCTTTTCAGAAAAAAGGTTCTGCCTTCATAATTGGCATAAATTCATTTCTAATGCTCATGTGCTAATATGTGTGTGCGAATCCTCATTTCAACCCGGCTGATGGTATCTATTTCTGTTTGAAATAGAAATGTGACACAACTATTAAAAATCGCAATATTTAGATGCCTGAAATTAGTAACTTCAACTCCAAAGTCTAATTTTAAATGTAACTGTTCTCAATTTCCTTGCTGTTTAAGCTCAGTGCATCTTAGCAAGAAACACCGTTTCAATTTGTTCATTTAGCAATAATTATTTAGCTTCGTGTAATTTCATTTAATCCCCATTTGAATCTCAGGTACCAATTTTGCCCTGTTTTTAATAATAGAGTTTGCTTCTTAACATTCTGTTCAGTACAACACCATTTCAGTAAGCCAGACCCTGTCCTCAGAACTCTGCTAATACGAAAATGGAACATTTGGCAAACTCTGTGGTCATCTGAAAGTAGCCAGAGCCAGCCTGTCACCAATGCTAACCCTCAGTTCCAAGATTTTACCATTTTCCCCCATTCAAACTAAAATTCTCATCATTAGAGCCAGACCTTCAAAAGCTCATAGTTTGTTTTTTGTTGTTTGTTTGTTTTTTGAAATGCAGAATTTTAAAATTGAAACCTTGGAAGTCATGTGACACTATCTCTCAGCTCATCTGCCGTCTCATGACTGGCCACACAATCCCCAGATATACATGTGAGCCGCCTGCAGGCACACACACACACACACACACACACACACATACACACACACAGAGTTTTTTGAAACAATAAAAAATAGAATAGTAAAACAAATAAACACATGTTCCAGCAAATTGAAATCAATTTCACAAACACACAGACATAAAAGGAGTGATCTATGTGATAATGATACATATCAGTAGAAAGTCAGCCAGTCAGTGGCTTCTAAGAGAGTGGACAGGTACCCAAGGAAAAAACCAAGCTGAGTTCCTCTCTCATGCCTTAAATGCAAAAAAATCCTAGATGGATTGCAAATTGAATTCATTTGTGAAAAAAACCCTAAAAGTACTAAATGAAAACTGGGAAGAATTTATTTTTAATTATCTTTGAATGGGAGGATGATACAAAACCCATAGAACATAAATATTGACACGAATTATAGCATAAAAATTTAGGCCCAAAGAAAACCATGGAAACATTTCACAGTCAAAGAGAAAATTGTTTTAATGCAAGTCAATAAGGAAAATACCAAAAGCCCAGTGGAAAACTAAGCAAAGGGTAAGGACAGAGTGTTCACAGGAAACGAAATACAAATGGCTTTTGAAAATAGGAAAAGGTTCTCGACTTTGTGCATAACAGAAATCCAAATTAAAACCTCCCTACTGAAGCTGCATTTCCGTAGCCAAAGATGAATACGTGGTAATACTTTGTAGGGACAAAGGCCCTTCTGCATTGGTGAGTAAGGAACTTGACATGGCCTTAGCCTGCCATGGTCAGATCCCTGACAAATGGAAGGTGCACAAACCCTTTGGTTTGGAAGGACGTTTGCTCTAGACTTGCTCAGGCCAAATGACTTCACACACAGTTTCTAACAGACTGTCAGGAAATAATCAGCAATTATCTCTAGAACCCAGCTGGCTCAACTATGGCACAGCCACCAAACAGACCACAACATGGCCACAGCCCCTCACGTGGCATCAAAAGTGCTGTTTCTGCTACTCTCACCCCACTCTTAGCCTCCTTTAATCAGATACATGTTCTCACAAGTTGTTCCTGCAAAATCACGAGCACCTTCCATACTACAAATTGAGTGGGCAGCTTCTGTCCTCAGCTGATCTTGTCCACCCCCGGAGCTCCTGGATCTCTCTCTCTCCCATGTGAGTTTCTTGTCTCCTCTGAGCCCCAGGGCTCCCTTCGCCCGTCTCCTCCCTGGAACTTGAGCGAGTGGAATGAATACATGCAGTTCCAGTCAGAACTATCTCCCCCCTCCCACGGGCCCTTGTCTTTTTTCTTTCTCTTTTTTAAAGTAAATGTGCATTTACTTAATTTTTATGTTTTTACTACTACATTAAACTTATACGTAATAGTGGGGTGCGTTCAGACATTTCAATCTCCAGGACTTTCCCTTCCTCTTTCTATGTGCTCCCCACCCAGAGGAAGCCCCCAGGCACACCCTGAACCCAACCCACTCACGTTCAAAAAAGAAAAAGTCCTCAGTCACTTATGACGACAACCCCTCCCTCTCCATTTTTCCCAGCTACAATAAAAACATGTCCAACTTTGGCAGAACAGTAAAAATCCTGAACTTCAACAAAAGCCGAAAAGCCCCTCCCCTTCCCTAAGTCCATCTGTGGCTGGAAAGTTCAGGTGGCCACAGAGGAATTCT